CCCAGGATTAATAATTATGGCGGTCATGTAAGAAGGAAGATGGCACTGTGAAAAGCCTCTTCAATCATTATGGTGTAAACGATAATCAGATTGAGCCTCTCCCGACGAACCTCGCTGTAATCTGGAACATTCTGGAGTACGAAGGAGATTTACATAATGATTATTAAGAGTCTGGGCAAAAACCATCACTTCTGATTTACTGGGCAAGATAATGAACAACAGCTGCAAAAACCATTTCTGTGTGCTGCAATTGGCCATCACTGCTGCTGGGTGGAGACCTGTATATGAGAGAAAATGTTCCTTTGGGTGGAGTACAAGCCATCAATATGTATATACCTGTTGTAATATATGATCCTGTACGCCCAAAACGTCAAATTCCAATGTCTTGTTGCTCCTTTTATATATTTACTCTATACATATGTGTGTAGCATGGTGGCTAAATGCTTAACACTATGGCCTTGCAGCAAAGAAGTCTAGGGATCAGCTGGTACCAGATCTGGAAAAGGTACTGCAGTGTGTATGTCCTCCTTATGGTTACACTTGGCACTGTGCTTTCCCCCACTATCCAAAAAAATGTCAGTAGTTGTCAAACAATAGTCAAAGTCACAGATAGGCATGAAGCATCATGGATGAGCATGGAGCATCACAGATAAACATGGACTGTTACTGATGAGCATGGACTGTTACAGTTGAGCATGGACTATTTCGAATGAGTATGAACCATTGCTGATGAGCATGGACTGGTGCAGATGGGCATGGTCTGTCATGGATGAGCATGGACTGTCGCAAATGAGCATGGGTTGCCATGGATGAAAATAGACTGTTATGAAAGAGCATGGACTGTCACAGATGAGCATGGACTGTCATGAGTGAGCATGGACCATTGCAGATTAGTATGGACTGTCACAGAAAAAATGGACTGTCATAAATGAGCATGAACTATCTGTGCAATCTGCAGCAGGGACGTCAGCTGTAGGTACAATGCAATACCTACTGCACATGGAATAGCAAACGTTACTTAAAATTATATTAAAGGCAATTTTTAAAAAAAATATTAAACATGTTTTACCTGCTCTGTACAGTGGTTTTGCACAGAACAGCCCTAATCCTCCTCTTCTTGGATCCCCCACCGGCACTGCTGGCATCTCCCTCCTGCCTAGTTCCCCTATAGCAAGCAGCTTGCTATGGGGGCATCCAAGCAGGCTTGCTCCCGAGCCTCTGCTCTGTGTGCCAATTTGGCCCCGCCCCCGATTTCTTCTCATTGTCTCACTGACTATAATTGACAGTAGTGGGAGCCAATGGCTGTATCAGCCAATGAGGAATGAGAGTCCTGAGATCGCTGGATCCAGAGAGGGTTCAAGTTAGTATTAGAGGAACGTGGGGATCTGCTGCAAACAGAAGGTTTCTTTTACCTTCATGCATAGAATGCATGAAAGTGAAAAAAAACCTTGAGCCTTTAGAACCACTTTAAACATATACATAATAAAAACTAATATAAATGTTACTATAATGACTCAAATTCAGCTTTGATAGAACACATAATACTGTTTCCCTTCAGGAGAGGGATTTACCGTCTCTTTAAGCCACCATGAGTACATCCATATGTGATATACAAACAGCAGATGAAGCCAGTCTGGGCCTGCCGACCCAGTTTCTCCAGTGCCAGGTATTCCCATTATAAACCCTGCAGACCCAGTTCCTCCAGTCCCAAGTATTCCCATCACATACATTGAGCATTATGACCATATATGATTCATATTCTTAGCTCTACACAAAGTGCTCATTGACAGCAGAAAATACGATATGAACACAGGAGGAGCTCACCATCCCAGGATGTGATTCATTATTAGCTTTTATGTCTGATGAGACGCTACACTGTGTGACACTGTCACAGTTCAGTGATAGGACCCCACCCCCCTCTTGTTACTTCTGTGGTGCTGCTCCCATAACTATTGCTTTCTTCAGTGTGTCAGATATGCCAGTGTCAATGTCATCACCAGTCTCCAGATATAAAGTATAATATACAGGAGTGACATCACCAGTCTCCAGATATAAGGTATAATATACAGGAGTGACATCACCATTCTCCATACAGTACAGGAGTGACATCACCACTCTCCAGATATAAGTTATATTATACAGGAGTGACATCACCGCTCTCTAGATATAAGTTGAATTATACGAGAGTGACATCACCGCTCTCCAGATATAAGATATTATACAGGAGTGACATCACCACTCTCCAGATATGTTATATTATACAGGAGTAACATCACCACACTCCAGATATAAGGTTTATTATACAGGAGTGACATCACCGCTCTCCAGATATAAGTTATATTATACAGGAGTGACATCACCGCTCTCCAGATATAAATTATATTATATCACCTACTTTCCTCTCCTTTAGGCCACCCTGAAAACCCATCTCTTCAGGGAAGCCTACCCCACCCCCTGCTAACTTGCCGACCTCCTCCACTCTTCCTACCACTCTGTCCCCCACAGCTATCTCCTCCTGTTCACCATTCCCTCCCTCCTAGATTGTAAACTCAAAAGAGCAGGGCCCTCAATCCCCTCATGTTTTGCATTGTATTGGTATTGTTCTGTCACATGTTCTGTCCCCCTTTGTAATGTACAGCGCGGAACGAACTATTGGCGCTTTATAAATACTTTATAATAATAATATAGGAATGACATCACCAATCTCCAGATAATAACTATATTATACAGGAGTGACATCATCACTTTTCAGGTATAAATTATATTATACAGGAGTGACATCACTACTCTCCAGATATGTTATATCATACAGAATTGACATAATTGTTTTCACATTATGTTATATTATACAAGTGTAACATCAACGTTCTCCAGATATTTTATATTATACAGGAGTGACATCACTGCTCTCCAGATATTTTATATTATACAGGAGTGACATCATCATTCTAAAGATAATAGTTATATTTTACAAGAGTGACACTGATGCTCACCAGATATGTTATATTATACAGAAGTGACAACGCCTCTCTAAAGATAAAAGTTATATCATACAGGAGTGACATCACCGCTCTTCAGATACAAGTTATATTATGCAGGAGTGACATCATTCTTCTCCAGAGTGAAATCATCGCTCTTCTATATAGTACAATGTATGTCTTGTTTATTGGGTCGATAAGTGAATTGTATGGCACACTTGCCTATTTCTTGGTTGCTCTTATTATTTTAGTCACGCTGCTGGAAAAATTTTGCATTTCTCAGAGAGGACAGAGATAACACCGGACGCCTTAGAAAGATCTAGATGAGCAGAAGATGGAAAAAACTCATTTTAGCTGCACACAGAGCTGTAAACAAAGGGTGAGGAAACGATAAAGACACTGAGAGTCAGATAATCCACAAACATGGGATTCCTCTATAACAAGTCCAGGCTCGGATTCTGCGGACCTCGCGGCATGCATCTATAATGGGGATGAATACAAAGTATCTCTTCCTGCATTGGATAATTTTTATCTCAGGACTGGATCACAGACATTATTGCAGCCTGATTGTATATTGAATATACTTATATAAAGTTTGTGGATCATATATTAAGTGGCGTTTATTATTTCTAAGAGATTGTAGCTTGAGAAACAATTGTTGTGTCTGGGAATCGTAGCTTGAGGCTAGGTTCATATTGGTGAGTTACAGGAATGCACGCAAAATCCCATTTGCAGACATGCAATGGAGCCATGAATTCATAAAGGCATCCCCATGCACATTGTTAATGCGCCTTCACATGCATCAAAACGTATGGCAGCAAAGTACCATGTGTTTTGGTGCTGTTTTTCTTGCGCAGGGCAGGCCCGTTAGAAATGGATGTGCTGCCCCAAAGCTGACGTGCACAGAAACCTGAGAGATGATGGCTATGCAGTTAGCAGATGTCTAATAAATATATTTTCAGGGAATATTTCACCTGTTGGGTTCTCTAAATACAACCAGAGCTGCATGGAAGACTTGCCCTCCCTCCATGATTGTGTATATCATTTTGTATTTGTGTGGCTCTCAGATGTCTATTTAACACAGCAGTCCCCAAGCTGTGGCTGGATTCGGCCCTTTGCTTGCCTTTAACCAGCCCTTGGGGAATTATTCCTTCCACTGCCCACCAATACTGTGGCATTGTTTACTCCCGTCAGCCACAGGCCAGGAGCCCCCAGGACAGCAATCTTTCCCTTTGTTTAGAAAGTTTAAGGAGTCCTTATATCGTTTCTGTGGCCAGGCTTACTGCACAGATCTCTGACTGCTCGTGTAATTGATGAAATATCGATCATACCTGCATTCCAAAAACACCCAATCATTGTATTCAGTCTTATTAATTCTGCAGCTTTCTTTAAGAGAATCCCTGGTGTTGTCACTCTGTCACATGGACTTCTGATGGAGACTACAAGTGGCTGTTTCAGCACACATTACACAGGTATGGTCCACTGTTGTCACTGTCAGGAAGCCCACCTTGCAGCCATTGAGCGCATGTAGTCAGGAAGTGTCTGCAAAAGCGTAGGGGATCAGCAGCACTAAGATCAAGGAGGAAAAAAAAAGGTGACCACAGGACTTCATGGACTCCTTAATGCCGACCAACTGTATATATCTACCAGTACATCGGTGGGCTTAATGCCATGCTGTCACATATATAGTCATGTATAGCCAGTGTCACTGTTCTGTGCTGGGAGCATGCTCACACTGTGACAGTGCTGTCAATGACAGCTGTCATGTCAGTGATTATGATCAGGAGCAAGTAGGATGGGATCATGTGATCACTGTGATGCCCAGTACAATGATCACATGATTGGGAAGCCTATGTAATGCCTCTGGTGTTACTATTATTAAACGGCCAGCTCCTGCTCGCTGTAAAGGGCAAAGCTGAATCCTAGGTATGGATAGCTTTACATCGTCACATTGGTCAGGCTTGGACCAGTGTAAGTATAATATATGTCACACCTGGCCAATCCCCATAGAAGCTGGAAATCATTGTAATATGCACCCAGGGGCGTATTTACCACAAGGCAAGCAAGGCATTTGCATAGGGCGGCATTTTTTTAGGGCAGCACTGCCCCTGGAAGAAGGGACATATGTGGCATGGGGACCAGGTGGGATCCGAGAGAGGCTGTGGGCTGCTTAATGGTGTATGCAAAGCCTAACTGTCATTCCTGCGGATGCCCAGAGCTGTGAAGGCGAGTATCTTTCTCTCTGTTGCTGTGGGGGGCGGGGGGGGTGTTAGTGGAAGGCTCTCTTGGGTGGGGGTGGGGGATGGGGCAGGGGTGTTTTTGGTTACTGTCAGGCTCTCTCCGCTGGGGGGGGGGGCTGTCTGGTGTTGGTTGGTGTGAGGCTCTCTTTTTGTCGGGGAGGGGGGTGTCTGATTTCTGTGTTGCCTGGGGCAGCACAAAACCTAAATACACCACTGCATGCACCCCCACTAACAGTGATCAGTATTAGCTTCTCTTCTAGGTCCTATTTCAACCGGCTTCCCTACTGCATTGTGAACGCAGGAGGTTGCACGATTGGCATGTGTACCATTCAGAGAACATTTTATATTGTCACAATGAATGCAAAGCATTCTCTGATTGGACGTAACAGAGATTATGATGTCACTGCCTCTCCACTTCATCCAATCAGAGACACTCACTTTGACACTCCTAGAGGATGAGCAAAGAGAGGCATTTACAGGTACATACCAGTCAAAAAATATGGCTTAAGGGAGGATTGTTTTTTAAATGAATGGACTGGTGACAGGGTCTCTGTAACCCCTGCACTGCTGGCTGTAACATAAACCGTACACAGTATGGCAGTCAAAAGGCAGAGCAGGGGGTGGTTCAGTGACCCCCCCCCCCCCCCCCACAGCAGCCAATTACAAATCATTTTTTTATACACAGCACACTACATGGGTCTCCTCTGTGACTCTATACTAGACTATTGACAGGAAATCTCTTGTCACATGGAATATACAGAACCGCCAGAAGACAAATGACTGGACCACAACTCCTAGCATGCCCTAAAAGCTGAACGCCAGATAAACACCTGAATACAGAGATAGAAAAGATTTATGGGTGTTGTTTTTACCTGCCAAAGGAGTTGTATACCTCCAGGCCTTACATTTTCACAACCTGTGATTGGTCAGGAATGGAACAGCAACACACTGATGAGCATATCCCTCTGCTCTTCCTAATGTCAGCACATCTGCTTGGCTCAGAGAACTGCCCCCTCTTCCAGTCACAGCTCAACTGTACATAGCACAACAAGAGGCTAATACAAGGACGAAGTCAGGTACTTACAAAAGCTGCACCTTGAATACATTTCAGTATTTTCTTCACAGCAGTATGGAGATTGGCTTTACAGTGGTATTAAATCCAATACCAACAATGTAATATATTGCAGCTTACCAGTCATTAGACGTGGTGACTGGAACAGACTTTTTTTCAGTCTTTTTTCCCCTCTATTTTCACGTGGTGATCTGGAGAGTAACACACCTCCTGCATTAGAGGGCCCCACTCTGGACAAAGGAGTACAGGGGGCACAGCAGACAGTAGCATTGTCAGTCTGGGGGGGAAGTAGGGGTGTTAGATGTATAAGCAGATTTAGATACACTAACAAATTAAATGAAACTCAAGTTCACACTTGAAGTACAAGCCTTTTCTGACACTATTTGTTTACAAATAACAAACAGTATTTTTTGCTATAAAATTTCTTAGAACCCCCAAATATTATTTATTTTTAAAGCAGAAGCCCTAGAGAATAAATTGGTGGGTATTGCAATTATTAATGTTACATGGTATTTGCGCAGCGTTTTTTCAAACGTGATTTTATGGGGAAAAAATACATACATTGAATTTTAATACAAAAAAAACAGAATACATAACCCAGTTTTTGGTAAAATTTTTAAATATGATGTTATGTCAAGTAAATAGATACAAAACATGTCATGCTTTAAATTTACCTGTGCCTATGCAACAATGACAAATGATGTATGCTTTAAAAGCCTTTACAGGTTAACCCTTTAGATTTACAAAGGAGCTCTAGAGCTAGAATTGCTGCCCATGATTTGACATTCGTGGTGATACCTCTTGTGTGGAACGATTGCTGTTTAGGTGTGTGCAGGACCGACGTGTGTGTTCGCCTTTCCATGCAAGTACAGGGGGACAGGAGCACTTGTTTTATTTATCTATTTTTCATTTATTGCTGTCACAAGTAGGGTAAACATCCCTTGTGACAGCAATAGGCATGTGACAGGTACTCTTTATGGAGACATCTAGGGGTTTATTTACTAAAGGTGGAGAGTGCAGAATCAGACTCACTTCTGCATAGAAAACCAATCAGCTTCCAGGTTTCATTGCCAAAGCTTCATTGAACAAGCTGAGGTTAGAAGCTGATTGGTTTCTATGCAGAAGGGAGTCTGATTTTGCACTCTCCAGCTTTAGTAAATAAACCCCCTAGGGTCTATAAGACCCCAGATCTCTCCTCTGCCCTTAAAGGCATTTAGTTACACCAAGATTGATGTGATCAAATGCTTTTCATTTTTAAAAATGGCGCCGTTTACATCCGGGGAAACCAGACGTAATGTCAGATCATCGCTTCCGGCTCCCTATATCATAGAGGTGAATAGAACAGTTCTGGTCTTTGTTTGCCTCTATGATCAGGCAGCCAAAGCGCCGGGGGATCGATCGAGTGTCCCAGTGGGATGGGACAGTCCAATAAAGCTTCCGAAGGTGGGGGGGGGGCCTCCCCTCCTGCTGCTCGTAAAAGCAATCCAGTGGCTAGTTAGCCACTGGGATTGCTTTTATAAGAGAGCTGACCATCAGCTCTATAAAATGGCACTGTGATGATGCTTGCGGCTGCACTTGAGGTCCAGCGATATATGGGTACCTGGTGAAAAGAAAAGAAAGCTTAGAAAAGAAAACTAATGCAGATATCACATCTAAGAATTGGTAAGCTGCAATATAATCAAATGTTTCCATTTGGGTTTAACACTGCTTTAAACTGTTAACCAGGGGCGGACTGACAACTCATGGGGCCCCCGGGCAATAGGGGATCATGGGGCCCCTGTGTCCTTGCCCAAACTCAAAAAAGCCTATGAAAAAGGTACCAGGGGCATCTCACTGGGCCCCCTACTGACCCTGTGCCCTTGGGCAGTGCCCGAGTTTCCAAATGATCAGTCCGCCCCTGCTGTTAACACATTCATATGGCTCAAGCCAAAAGACTCTCTGATTTCTTCTGTCATGATTTCATTACTAGGGTGAATCCAACTCATGTCCTGTGACAACAGAATAGACAAGGCCTTAGGGGGCACAGACAGTAATAACACCCAGCAGAGGATCCTCCTCCAATCACTGAGAAGTGTGCTTTGTACCAGTCAGTGTCCCCATTGAAAGATGAACCATCACTTCTGGTCCTGACAGGAAGTAAGGGAAAATTTCCCTGATGGAAAAACCAGAGTCTTCCTCCCCCACTCTGTTCCAAACCACAAATAATGTTTTGACCGGAGTTCTTCTTTAACATCCATTGTCCCTTAATCGGCTCCAATACGGCTTAACAGAGAAAGGTAGAGTCCCCCTTCAGCCGCTGGGCGGGGCTGAAGCTCCTGTCACGCCCTCCATGGGAAGACGTCTCCACCTATTCCCGTGTCTGGAGTATGAGGAGCGCAGTGAGCCGTGCGAAGTCATGTGACCCCTGCCCAGCCTGTAGGTTACTCAGGTGTTGATGGGCGGGGTTTCTCTACTGATGGGCGGGTTGTTTCTGTCTCTGACAGTGGGCGGGTATTGCACCTCTAGTGGTGGGCGGGATCTGGATTCTGCTCGTGTCCGCTTGGCGGCGGCCGCGGTGATTGGCGAGCGGCGACGCGCAGTGCCGGGGCGCGCGCTCCCGGGTGACAGACATGGCGGCGGATGGCAGCCCGGACTGGGTCAGCTCTCTGCCCTGGGCGTGGGGCTACGGCATCACCGCAGGAGGAAGGGTCTTCTTCATCAAGTAATTCTCCCTAATTATCGTCCGCTCTTCCCGGCTTTTCATCTCAGAGCGAGACACTGCACTGCGGGGCTTCCCGGCTGGGTCCCTCAGTGTCTCCCCCCCCTGCATCCGGCCTGTCACCGCATGTCCCCCCCCCCCCCCCCGTACACTGCACACTGTCACCTGTCTGCCCAACACACAGCGTACTGCCCCCCCCCCCCCCCCTTACCCTTACACTGCACACTGTCACCTGTGCCCCCCCCCCCCCCCCCATACACTACACACTGTCTGCCCAGCACACAGCGTACTGTCACCCATACACTGCAACCTCTGTTCATCCTATACAGTGCACACTGTCACCTGTGCCCCCCCCATACACTGTCTCCTGTGTCCCCCCCTATGCACTGCACACTGTCACTTGCGCCCCCCCTATGCACTGCACACTGTCACTTGCGCCCCCCATGCACTGCACGTTGTCACTTGTGCTCCCCCCCCATACACTGTCACCTGTGCCCCCCCCTATGCACTGCACACTGTCACCTGTGCCCCCCCCCTATGCACTGCACACTGTCCACCTGTGCTCCCCCTATGCACTGTCACCTGTAACCCCCCCCCATACACTGCCACCTGTAACCCCCCCCCATACACTGCCACCTGTGCCCCCCCCCCCTCCTGTGTCCCCTCCTATGCACACTGCACCTGTGCCCCCCCATACACTGCACGTTGTCACTTGTGCTCCCCCCATACCTGTCACCTGTGCCCCCCCTATGCACTGCACACTGTCACTTGCGCCCCCCCCCCCTATGCACTGCACACGTTGTCACTTGTGCCCCCCCCCCCCTATACACACTGTCACCTGTGCCCCCCCCCATGCACTGCACACTGTCACCTGTGCTCCCCCTATGCACTGTCACCTGTAACCCCCCCCCATACACTGCCACCTGTGCCCCCCCCATACACTGCCACCTGTGCCCCCCCTATACACTGTCACCTTGCCCCCTCCCCCCCATACACTACACACTGTCTGCCCAACACACAGCGTAGTGTCACCCATACACTGCACACTGTCAACCTATGCCCCCCCCCCATACACTGCACTCTGTCACTTGTGCTCCCCCCATACACTGGCACCTGTGCCCCCCCATTCACTGCACACTGTCACCTGTGCCCCCCTATACACTTTCACCTGTGCCTCCCCATACACTGTCACCTGTGGCCCCCCACCCATACACTGCACACTGTCATCTGTGCCCCCCCAATGCACTGCAACACCTGCTGTCATCTGTGCCCCCCCAATACAATGCGAGCTGTCATGATTCCCTCCCAAAACTCTGCAACGCTGCCTCCTGTGCCCCCCAA